ATCATATAAGAGGATCCGAATGCCGACTGACTCTTCAGCTTCTGTGTCTACTGGTAGTGAATCAAATGCGTCAGATTCAGAAACACAAAAAATAAAGAAACCACGTCATGCATCTCTTAAGAGAGCCTCAGAGGAGGGAAAGAATAATGAGGTGCTGCCCAACCATGAAGCTACAAATGATGAAAATGCTGATACCTCCATGGAAGTTATAGACTTACTGACACCACCTGAAGAAGCTAATGTTGACCTTACCCCTGATATTGATGACAGAACCAATATTGAAGAGAAGTGGCTGGGAGAAAGTATACCTAATTCAGAAGAACTAATGGCAAGAGTGATGGCAAATATTGACGCTGATCTAGCAGAAACAAGGAAGCGCAAAATGAAAGAGGGCACTGATAGTGATGTGGAAAGGCAGAAAGTGTCACCTACACTTTTTACACCGTCACCAGCTGTTGCTGACTCTGAAGAACTGGGTACCAAGATGACATGTGAACTGGTGATGTGCCATTCAGAAGTAGATCCTGGGAAGAAGCCTGTTAAGGAGAGTTTCTTAGGCAATACAACAGTAGGCAATGACAGTGAGAGCCTTTGTACGCAGCAAAGGAGTAAAATCCAGGTTAGTACTGCTAGTATTCTCAAAGAATTCAGCTTCACTGACTTTAGACTCTATGGCTATTGGTAGTGACTTGATTTTGGGTGAGAAAAAAGTGAGCTCTTTTGTGACTGGATCTGTGACTTGAAGCAGAAGGTTATTAGGTCAACATCACTGATGCAATGTAGGAGACTGGTTCATGAGTTGAAGCCAGTGGCAATTAGCAGTGAATGCCATTTTGAATAATGTATAGTGGTAATAGTAAAACCTGAAATATAAAATGTGACATATGAAGCTTAATGTAAGATTTATGCATTAAAACGTGCAGAATTTTGGAATATGTTTTTCAAATTCTCTGGCATTCCAACTGCAAATCACTGAATATGACTTAAGACAGGAAGCTGTAACCTCTACATGACAAAAAATACACTAAATTCATGTCCATTATGCAATCCTAATTTTTGTGGAAGAATATAATGCTTGTAATGCATAAATGACAATTCAGTTATTTTTACATTTTTATAAATAAAATATGGATTTTATAAAATCAATGGAATGTGTATGCTTAGAGATATTTTTATCAATATGAATTAATTTTTCAGGGTGATATTCACAATCTGGAGTCTGAAATCAAGGAATGCAAAGCAGAATTTCAGAAAGTGATAGAGAATAGATCAGTTGATAATATTTGTCCTGAAACTGTATGTGGGGACAGTGAAAATGAGTCAGAGGATGACTTTGTGGCACCAACACCAAGAAAAGAAGTTACATCAAACAAGACATGGTTAGTCTAATTAGTACAAATTCTTATTATTACAATTTGATATGCAAAACACATCATAAGACAGTCTGTTGAGAATTCTAATTTAATTATTATATGTTTAGATTTGGAAAAATAAGGAACACCTTTTTATAACAGGATCCTAAAACACTAGATAGTTTCACTTTTAATACAGGTACTCTCTTCCAGATAAAAATTTTCATGAATCATGATATGAGACCCTTTTGGTTATTAGTGGTATCTTCACAGTTCTAAATCATAAATTAATTATAAACACCTCATGACATGTCAAGTTATTTGTTTCTAAGCAAATTTTTCTAAATTTACAGAACATACTCTGTATCTTATACATTTCGGGGGGAAGGGGGTTCATAGCTCCTTTGCCCTTCTGATACAATGTTTGATATCACTGTCTTGTCAAGGCATGCCGGGGCAGTTCCTTGGCATTAAAAATGCACCAAAGTACCAACCTAGACCATCCTGGCTCAAATACAGCCTTGTCTATGGTGGCTTTGCAACAACAGTTCTGCATCTACTATAAAATGAACTCAGGCCAATAATGAATGCAAAACAACAAATAAAATATCTATATTCCATAGGAGTATACCATTTTAGTTTTGTCAAATTTTCTGTAAATTAACTACTACTGTTACAGGGATGGCAAACCCAAAGATGATGCCAGAGCAGAAAGCAAAGAGGTTGCTTGTTTTCAACAAATATGCCGATTGAACCTTACAACTCCATCTTCAACTGTTAAAAATTCTGAGAAAACTGTGTTGCATAATCAAGATTCTAATTACATTTCACCTACGAGAAGTCCATCAATTATTAATTCTACTGATATTCAGTGTAAAAAAACTGGTACACCTAAGTATCAAACTGCTGCTCTTAACAGTGAAATCAAATCTCACACAACTCCAACAACATCTAAGCAGTTTGTTCTTCGACTTCCTCAAACAAATAATTCCACAACTTCACCAATGACGAAGGCAGAGAATGTTGCATCATCAGCTGTAGTATCTAAATCATCTGTCCCAGCAAAAGAGTTAACGCCAGGAGATATCCCTAAGGAAGTTGTGCCCCAGTCTTCACTCCAAACACTGAGAGTTCAGACACAAGCTTCTACAAAACTTTGCTTTGTATGTAGTGGTTTGCACACAGGATTAATTACCAGAGTGAAAACACTATCAAAACTGCTGGGAGCAGAGTTCTCAAATAAATTTGAGCCACATACAACACACCTTGTAGTGAAGGCCTCAGATAACATGATGGCAGACAAAACATTGAAATACCTCTCGGCAGTAGTCAAGAAGAAATGGATTGTATCCATTGCTTGGGTAGATGCTTGTCTTCAAGCAGGGAAGCTAGTACCTGAGGTCAGTCATTATATTACAACACTGTATTGTAGTGTCTTTCCCTTGATTGATTAAGACAAAATATATCTGGATTATTTAGTACAATAGGAGGAGGTGATATTGAAAATAGGGGAAACAACTAAACTCACTCACATAATGGAGCAGAAAAATATGTAAACCTTTATTTTTTTTTAGTAAACTGTTCTAATTTCAGGATGAATATGAAATGCTTGATTCTTCTGGTGAAAATGGGCCACACCGATCCCGTACATCATCTGATCTACTGTACAAAAATTTTGAGTTTTGCTGCATTGAACCTTTCACTGATCTCAACAGAGAACAACTAGAGGTGAGAAATTATTACCAAATATGTTAACATTTCAATAATATGTTATAATTTAATGGTATATAGTAACTCATGTTATAAAAGTTCAACAAACTTTCATGTTAACACTGAAACAAGAATGTGTGTAAGTTTACAGTATTGACTTTTTTACATTGTTTACTGCATACTATACTAGCAACATTAATAATTTTTGTGAGTTTTATCTTAAATTATCTTGCCTTCCATCATGACTTCAAGTTCTCATTCATTTTACAGAATACCCTGTAAGTCTGGGGACATAGGAGAACTCTGTTATTTAGCAAAATATGGAAAAATGTAGAGGGGAAAAGATGTTGAAAATTATGCGTTTGGAATCTAAAGTGTTAGAATTTTTTATATAGGATGGGCCATTATGGTGCTACACTCTACATTATCGATAGTGAAAAGTTATGGTGATAGTGCCACATTGACATGATAGCAAAGGAGGAATGTGTTTCCTTTAGTACCTGTGTCTCTTTTATTACTTCTTCCACCTAATCTGGAAACTACACTGCACTGATAATTGATTTTAATTTGTAGTATGTTTTGTAGGAGATTTTAAAAGAATGTGGAGCAGAAATTGTGAGTCATCCTGAAGAGTTTTCATTCAAAGCTGGACAATGTGGTATGATTATTGTCCAGATGGATACAGAGAGAGAAGAAGAGTGTAAAGGTAGGTGTTACTAAATTTCTGCACCACATGTTTGAAGAATTTTATGTTGGGGCTAATAGTGAGTTTGCAAAGCCATTGGGCTAGAGGACCCAGATTTATATTTCAGTAGACAAATTCAGATCTGCATTCACAGAGAAATTAAGAGCAGATTACATTCGTGTTCCATGAAGAGAGGAATGCCTTCACTATGGGTGCTGCTACTCAGCACCGCTACTTTTAGGGGAGACCAGTTATCTCTGGTAAGAGAACTCCTGCCTGCCTAATTAGACATCTGGAAGAATTGTTCCAGCCTAATCAATGAAGTAAAATGATGATATATTTTAAAACTGAAGCTCAAAAAAGCTGCAGTTGTTTGGTTTTCGGGACACTATAATGATTAATATATGGATGTATATATATCTACATAGCCTATAAAAATACACTGTTTCTGAGTAGACTATTTTTGTTGTGGATTTCAAAGAAACAGGATGCAAGGGTATGAAGTGAATCTAGCTTGCTCAAGTAAGTGTCCAGCGGCAGGCCATTGTGAACATGTGTGAATTTCTTGGCCAGCCGAATGACACAGCTTTTCACAGACTATGCTTCATATAGTTAATATGTTTGGAGTACACTATAGTTTCTAATCCTGTTTCAGAATGGTGGGAGCGCTATGGAGTACTTCCTATTGGACATGAATGGGTGTTAGAATGCATTGGCAGATACCGGATAATACCTATCTGGAACTTCTTAACTTGTCCTGTCAGTGAAGATCACGTGAGAGCACTAGGGTACCCTGAAGATGCCCTTGTTAGTGATGATGATGACACTGTAATGGAATCACAAGTGTGAGTGGACAGAAGTACAAAGAAACTGTACATAAACTTACTCACCAGCCCTATATTAACTATAATTTTTCCCATAAGATGTTACAAAATAAAGTTTTGTTTTTGAACTTGTACAAACTGGAGGTAAGATTATCATGTCAGATGGTAACCATGGCTTCTTTTAGATGTAAACAGATTACAGAAGACATCAGTAAATTCTTTATTTCAGATTCTGGATCTTAAGGTGAATGTAAGGACAATAATTAGAATAACAAAAAAATTATGCAGTCAAAGCATTTTGTACCAACAGAAATAAGGCAGTGAAAGTTAATATAATAGATGAAAGAAAATATGTCTGAAAACAGTAATGGATGAAGTAACTGCCTGATGTTTTATGTTCATTTTAGATGAATAAAATCCCACAGGGGCAAGTGAGTTTCTTTGTGAGGGACACGGCTGGCATGTATCCTGTAATCTGTCTACTCACAGTTTGAGGGAAGGGTGGAAGAATCAGACATAGAACAGGATACGTTTCAGATATAAATGTGTATGGAAAAGAACCGAGAATTTCAGTTTGATAATGGTTTCTATAAATTACCAGTTAATGCTAGTGGTTGAGGATCTTGTTGCTTTACATTTACTGCATTCTTCAGCTAAAACAAATAAGGGTAAAGTGGTCCATATTGGATTCTAGACTTCAAATCCCAGTAAAGAGATTCAGTATTTTCTATTTGTATGATGTTGGGACTTGTCTCTCTAGGGATACAGAGGTGAGACATAAAGCTAACCAACAATCTCCTACTGTCAGATCAGAGTATGTTACTTCATTATTCCCTATTATTCATTTACTGCAGATAAGCTGAAGACATCACCTTGCTAAAAAGTATTTTATTTTTGTGGAGATTATATGGATCTTGTAATTTTGAAACTTGTACATATAGGGAGTGCCACTTAATGTGGAACCTGCCATGACAGCATTAGTGAGCAAACTACCAGGAAATGAGTTTGGTCACAATGCAGAACATAGCTGTTGCATGCTAGTAGATGGTTTCCAAGTTATGTGGGACTCTGTAAATAGAGAAAGTTTTTAATTTTTGTAGAGAATATACAGTACTTATGACATTATAACTGAAAAATTTAATCATACTGCAACAGTGTGTTTATTGAAAGAAGTCTCCAACGGGAGAACTTCTGTGATTAATTCACTGGTTGTCTTGCATCCTACTACAGCTGATGGTAATGTAAAGACAGAATACTTTAAATAGTTTCCATAGCACTGGGCTATAGAAAATGTGATACGAAAAAGAATTAACTACTTTAAGCATATTTCTGGACAATCTGAGGATAACGAAAAATAATTGACTGAGGATTTAACTCTAAAACTTCAAATATACCATAATGCACAGGAAGATAACTTAGTGATTGTGCATTAATTTACAAAGCCATGGGTTTCAAATGTTATGTGGTGGTTGACATTCAAAATTTGCATTTCATGGATTTCAGTCAGTAGACTGACTATCCTGATATTTCACTCCATTATCCCAATTCCCTTGGCAAACTCTGGGATAGTACAGTGAAACCTCTATCCATCGTTCCCGGAACTATCGTTTTCCCGGATGCATCGTCCGTTTTGTTCGGTCCCGAATACATCCCATATAAAATAATGTTACATTTTCCCGCTTCTATCGTTCCTCGAACTATCGTTTTATCGCATCGATCCTTAAAAAATCTTAGTCCCAGCACACAATTTTCCCGCAATGATCGTTTCTGAGAAATTAAAATGCTGGGTTTTGAGATAAATTAATACTGAAAGATGCACAATGTTTTTGGAATACACAGTAGCGATAACCTGTTATGTCGCCCAACCAGCACATTCTTTTGGAATGAGGGTCAGCGGTGCAGGGGTGATAGTTGGAGTGAATGGCGGCAGTAATAGTATTTCCATTCTTCCTGTTATTGTCCGCAAAGGGGGTTGGAGTGGTGAGGAAGAGGGAGACGACGAATGCGAGCCCGAAGCTTTGCCGAGTTTTGCCGAAGTACACGCTGCATTGGTGAAAGTGAAGTCGTTCTTTTATGCGCTTAATATTAGTGAACGTGACGAAGAAAACATTTTGAACGTGGAAAGTGCTCTGTTTGGTCTAAAACGTAAAGTTTCAACAAACCAGTTGGCCATTAAAGACTTTTTTGGTAAAAAGAAGTAACTTTGAAAGAGAAACATTGTTTTTTTTTAATTTTTAATGCTTTCCCGCATCTATCGTTTTCCCACATTCATCGTTTTTATTTCCCACCCCCGCCAAAAACGATGCATCGAGGTTTCACTGTATCTTAAAATAGACCACAACCACTCCCAAACAAATGTTTGACTTAATCTTTATTATCTCTAAACAAACTGAATTTGTAATTTTTTTTTCTAAACTACATACACAGTATTATATATTATCAGTTACAGTAGAGGACAGGACAGACTCAATTGGACAAAGAAAAATAAATGATGGATCTGATGAAATGGGTTCAAAGTCATGTTCTGCAAAGTGTGTGTGTGTATCCATATTTTAGTATAAGAAGTAAAGAGATGCTACAATTATTTTCATTTATAGTATTTTTTTAACCCCACCCCCAAATTTCATTAGCTAGCTTTGTGAACACATACCACTGGTGTCAAATAACATACAGGAGTCTTGAGCTATACAGAACACAGTGGAAATGATAATGATTTTTTAATAGAAGTCATTGCACCATGTACCATTTTAAATATGCTGTGAAGATGTACTCTGGGTGAAGAATGAGTCTTGGAATGATGGTGGTGAACTTTCACAATAAACATACTTTTGAAGATTTCTGTCTTCTGGGTTGTTGCGCTGTGTAGTCTGGTCAATGTTAACCAACGTTTCAGAGGTCATACTGCCTCCGTCATCAGGTTGGTTAACATCGACCAGACTACACAGCGCAACAGCCCAGAAGACAGAAATCTTCATACTCACCGCTGTGAAAACCTCAAATCTTACAAACATACTTTTATTAACATGATTTTCATATATAACTACACTTTCAGCAGCAACATTCCTGTAGATTCATACCTACAAACTGTTGACACCTCTGACCCTTGTGGGTTTATTAAAAAGACTGCAGTTCTGGAAAAAAAATTGTGAGTTTTTATGGAATGTTGTTTCCTGGTTTCCAAGTTACAGTTGGTACAATAAACCATCTGTATTTTGGAAAAAGAGTAATTCTGAAACTGGCTTCAACAGTACAGTGTCTGTTCTGCACAGACTATGTGAATGCCAGTATGAAAGGAATGTATGCCAGTGAAGTAGTGAATGACTAAATCTCTCACTTTGATCTCCATAAATGTTGAATGTATTTGTCAACTCTTATCAATCAATAATAAGAAACCAAATATCAGTAGCACACACAGAAATCAGCCTAATACTGGAAAACAGGATTTGGACTGATGCACTTCTTAATGATTTAAAGTGCTAATTAGATGGCATAATACCATGGCTGACTAATTACATACCTGAAGTCTGTCTCAGTCCATGCCAGGAGGAGCTGGCTCAGATCGAATCTCGTCAGGTTCATCTCTGATATCTATTGTCAACTCAGTTGGAGACACCTACAACAGATCAACCTGTCTTGTAACACACAATGCTAGAAAAATCACATTATACTCCGGAATCAGCTATGAGAATCATAACAAATTATGCATTCCCCTAATATGAACAAGAATGGCACAGTTTAATTCAATTTTAAAATCCAAATACTGCAAATATCTTCTAGTGTAGTTTCAGTTTCATATTGGTCAGTGGCGCAAAATGACTTGTGGAGGAATATTGATTTTAAGCCAGAACCCCTATTACTGCATTTATTAGTAAAAGGAGAAGACTCAAAGAAATAAACCATCATCATTTTGTAAGTAAATCCTTCCAGCATCAGCAGATATTTTGCCACAGTTTTTATAACATCCTATGCTACTTCTGGAAATCACAAAGCTGCCTTTGTAAATGGTGTGCCAAATGATCATGAAATATCTTACTGCTTTTCTATAAACTACGTGTGTTTTGAGCTTACATTTATGTGAATAACTTATAGACAGATTTTCTTTCTATGTTCAACCTTCCATTCTGACAAAGACCTTAAACAATTTTTTGTATTTCAGAAATAAAAATGAAGTAATATTTATTACATCATTTTTAATTCCTTTGTACACCTTGTTGAATGCCTCGCTTTGTATCGAAGTAAAACTGTCTAAGCTGTGTGGTACAGAAATAAACTTCCAAAAAGACTGAATCATGGTCAGTGATCTTGATTCCACACTCCATCTATGAAAACTGAGTTGACCCAGTCTCTCATGATCAGGCAATTCAGAATGTACTTGACATATATTTAATTTGAACTGGCTCTATGTATGTCATTTACATTGAAAGAATTTGTTAAACACAGAGAAAGGTGTCTGTTAAAACTAAAAATTCAGCACTCGTGTTTTCAACATTTTACAGAAAATGTGTTATTCTAATGATGTAGAATTAGTAAATGCTGACTGTAAGACCCATACTTACAGCTTCACTATAGACATCATATTCTTCCAAATGAGGCCTTCTATTACCTAGCAGGACATCCATGATCGACTGAGGAATGTGAGCACGCTGCAAGCAACACATCATCATATAAATATATAAACATAAATCTGAACCTAAAAATACAAATTACAGATCAGAGAATAGAACACTTACTAGAGAACAGCAGAAGAAACAGAGTGGAAAAATGTATTCTAATTAAGTCGCTGGTAGTTGCTCAGCTGGTCAATAAATCCCATGCCTTTTATGACACTTGAAGGTACATTAATATGTTCACAAGATCCTACCACTGGACCCTATTCAATCTGGTCCACACCTTTACATTTATCTGGTATATATAGATTCTAAGCTCAGAAAACCCCTTTGACCCTGGCCACATGACCATACAAAGTTCGTCCGTTGCAATTCTATGACGGGCGTCACGATGTGTGTTACAATGGACGTACAGTAGGGCACCGCTTATACGGCGGGTTAGGGACCAGACCCCCGCCATAAAGCGAAAATCGCCGTAAAGCGGATCTTTGCCTTTTTTCACTTGCAAATGCAAATCAAAGCCTAATAAGATGTTTACACTATCATATAGTAAGTGCACAATAGCGCTAGGCCTAAGAAAATGATATGAAAGTAAAATGACTATCAGTAGTACACACATTGTGGCTGGGTTGATCTTCAATCCACACAACTAAAAGTTTTTCCATGTCGGCAATAAGGCTATCTCTTTTTCTTATGACTTTAGAGTTCATTCGTGTGGCACTTTTAATTTCATTTAACACTTTCTCCTTAGCGTTCACGATGGCAATAACAGTTTGGCGAGCTAGGCCTAGCTTACGTCCTATCTCGGCCAGACATGCCTTGTTCACGAAGTTTAATCATCTCTAAGTTGGTATTTAAAGTAAGAGGCTTACAACTCCTCTTTTTATCGCTACTACCCTTTGACGCCATTGTAATTACACTAAAGTAACACAAAAATATTATATAAATACACAGTTTGTAATAACTTTGAAGAATTGCTAGAAATACAGATAGACGCAGAGCACACAAAAGCTGTAAACAGATTGAATCAGCGACGAAAAAATGGCGCCGGACGCACTTCTCTGACTCAGCTGTTGAGCGCCGTATTAGCGAATCGCCGTAAAGCGGAGCGCCGAAAAGCGGGGCCCTACTGTACTTTGTACGGTCGTGTGGCCCCAGCCTTAGGTGGAGGACAAAAGCTGAGAATCTGGAAAAGAGAGAGGGATCGTAATTTATATAACAGAGATGAAAATAAAAGTGTATGCTAACCTGATTCTCTGTGAAAGCCATGACATGGGAAAGGAGTGGTTGCTGCAGATCTGGTGAGTTGACTAGCACATCACTGAGTTGGGCAGGTGGAAGCTGTAGTAACACCTGGAAACTTTGTGGTTTTGTTCGCTGACAACACTTGATGAAACCCTCCCATACTTTCTTCTGTTTCCAAACCTGAAATACAATTACCAACTACTATAAATGCTAGTTCAGGATGTTAATTTCCCTCTTTAAAAGGGGATGGGACTAAAGTTTTGGAAATCAGTAGAATCTTCCACATGCAGGTTGAAGACATTCATGTCCTTCTGAAAGTCCTGGTCTAAAAGGCATACTCTGCTCAAAGGAAAAGGACTTCCCACATATTAAAAGATCCTGGTTATTGGCAAGAAAAAATAAGTCATTTTAAGAGCCAGAAAGGAGAGATTTCATATCTTGCTCTGCTTGGATTTATCTGTGAATGTCCTCAATTTATTTCTCAACTTTGTAGATTGTTTCAAAAGAACTCTCACTCATACTGACATTATATATGCAACTTATGATTATTTTAATGGTCTTATCAAACCTTCAAATTCAAATAAAACTGCAGTGCACAGCAGACTCAAGCAACAGACTGGAAAAGAAATGTTTACCAGTCAAAAAATCAAATTACATTCTGTGGGGAATAAAACCACTGAAATTGTAGGAAAATTAATGGGACTGAAAAAACACGTAACTCGCAGGAAAACGCATTCCAAAAATGAAAATGCAAGATTTTACTGTAGACTATAATAGAAGAATATTATGAACTCAAGCAGGAAGCATGATTTATGACAATAGTGTATCACTCCTATATTTTATAGCTGCATCTTAAAATAATCTCCAACTACCACACATATTCCCCTCAGTTTGATATATTAGAAATTTATCTTGTGTAAATGCATCTGGCATGTCAAATAAGTCATAACCTGGAAGATGTTTACCTGTTTCATTATTAGCCTCTGTAGGATGTTCATGACAAAACCTATGAGCCGTGGGTAGAGAGAGAGGGACTGTATCACTGTGCGCATCAGTAAAGTTGGCAATGGGTTCAGCTCCATCAAATGTTGCATCACCACAGCCAGAATTTCCTGTGTGTATGCTTGTTTCTCAGCAAAGCACAATGATGTAGCTGCACATAAGAATAACATAAGATACAGGAAACCTGGACATTATTAACTCCATCTGTGCAAAATATGTAAATTTTGTTGATTCTGCATGTGCAGATAGTTCCCTACTCAAAATACAGCAACTGGCATGGTTTTACTGTGATGACGATAATAAAGGAATATATTCAATTTAACAATGTCAATGGGGAAGGAAGGAGGTGGAATATAGTCAAATACTGATATTTAAAGCTGTGTACATCAATGTGGTCGCTAAATTGCATATTTAGAAAAAATGATGGGTTGAATGGAAGAATTTACAGATGGCAATGAATGTGCTGAACTAATTACTTCAAACATTTATTAAGAAGAACACAAGAAACATGTTACCTTTGATAACAGTTTTTAGCTCACACTTGGAAGGATCAATATTGTGCAAAGCAATGAGAAGCTCTGCAGGAGTAAGAGGTGATGTGTGGCTCAAGCCCTCTGAATGTGTTCCCAGCAACCTAAGAATGAACAATAACTGATCAGGCTGAAGTCAATCAAATTCACAAAATTAAATGTACATAAAATTACAATGAAATGTAGGAGGAACCATCTACCTAACTATGCAAGGCCATGGCGGTGCTGGAATTTATATTACATAATGAGATTAAAATTACCCCATGAAGGAGAGTCGTTAAGAAGTTGCGAGTTGCTCTAATGGTAAATATTCCAACCTTTCTGCGGAACTGTAAGTTTCATCATCATGTTAATGTTGGTCTTATGGGTAATAATACCAAAGGACTTGCAAGTAGATACCAACATTTTAGACAAATATTACACACATTAAACAAAAACTTTTTTTCAGTATATATTACACTGTCTTATGAAATTATTTCTTCTAGTCCATGTATTTTTTTCTCTTTTACAACTCTTTTTTTTTCCTTCTTTCTTTCTCATGTAAACTGAACTACAAAAAAGGTGTCATCAAATCAACTGACCATATTACAAAATTATATTTAACACTGTACAATCTCTTATATGCATAATAAAATCAAACCTGTTAAAGACTTCTTTCACAACCACAGGGTTCAGCTTGATGAGCTTTGGCAATGCAGCTATTACTTCCTTCTTTGTGAGCCCATTTAATACAGGAATCAAGAACCGCACATCAGACACACGTGTATGGTATAAATCTCGCACTCGTGCAACCAGCTCAGCACTTGGAGGAGCTGTTAACACAAGATACACAACCTGGTAGAATATCACTGGACGACTTTATGACTTCTACAACTTGAATAAACATAAGAGAATCGTTGATATTTCTACAACCAAAGCTGTACTTGATTAGGTCATCAGAAGGATGGTGCAGGTACAAAAATGTAAATTTTACAAGATAAACAGAACATAATTAATTGTACACTAATACACATCCTGTAAATCCAAACTCAGAAAATTTAAAAGTTGTTAACAGCCCAAAACACAAGTATGTCAGAAAAACAAATGTAAAGCACAAAAAAGATTTAAAAAATTATGAGCCTAACAATATCAGACATAAACTGGACAAGAAATTTATAGATGCTATGTTAAAAATCATAATATGCACAATAATAAAATTTATATACAAAGAACACAGAATTGCTGGTATGTTAATTGACTGATTCAAATTTCTAACTTACTTTTATCAGTCAGTATATGAATAACCCTGGTGACGAGTGTTTCAGCACCTTTTGGACACTCCTCAACAAGCTTAAGCAGCTGAGGTGAGTCCATTCCCATCCCTCTAACAGGCTGTTCCAACAGGCGCAGAATTGTTCGTTTTACATCTGCCACAGTTTGCACATACACTCTTGCCAATCTACAACATACAACCACCAAAACATTCCAGTCTGAAACTACAATGGTCTATACTGTAATAACTAATTATACAGAGCACAGTATTTCTTGATAAGCTGACAGTAACTCAGTGTTTATCAATAAATTCCCTGCCTTTTATAAAACCTGAAGGTTCATTACCATGTTCCCAAGATCCTGTCCTGAACCAGGTGAACCTAATTTCCATGCTCACACACCATTCCCATAAAATCCATTTTAATGTTTTCTCCTGCCTATGACTAAGGCACCCAAGTTGTCTCTTCACTTCAGGTTTTTCAACTAAAATTTTTAATACATTTTTTGGCTATTTCACGCAAGCTACATGTCTTTCCAATATCATTCACCTTGATTTTAATATAGAATTTGGTAAAGAGTACAAATTACTAAACTACTCCTTTTCCAAACTGAAGAACCATCAACACAATGTGTAGATATATAAATTCATTATGGGTTTTCAGATAATATATTTGAATATCTACACAATGTGTTAATAGTCCTTCAGTTTATAATAAGTAATGAGCACATGACAGAATATTCTCCCCGATTATCTTGGACTTTCCTGATGACATAATCTAGAGAAAAATTAAAAATCACTTGAGATAAAGCATCCATTTGTGTGTTTGTCCACTAAGAAGTGGAAATGCCAGAACAAAATAAACTAAGTTCAGTGAATGTATGACATTGTAACAAACTGTGCCGTAGAATATTTAAAATATAATTTATTACAAAATAAAGGGACCAAAATATATCTGCTACTCATTACATAATATCCTAAGCTCATGACTCTAAGATCCAAATATTTTTCTGAGCGCTATGATTTCAAAGAGTTGTATATATATATATATTTTTTTTTTGATATTCACATCAGTGTTTAAAGAATACTCACTCATGAATTAGCTTCTCATTGACAGGAAGCAGGGCTAGGTACAGATATAGACATACTCTGACAGTATCCTCATTCCAAGCATCAACCTTGATAGGACGTCCTCTGTCTACACCAAAGAGGACATCTGGTGGTTGAAGCAGGCGAAGGAAACCCAGATAAAATATAGCATACTCTTCTATGATACTCCTGAGGTCCCCACGATCATACAGTTCCGCCACAGCCTTTATGGCACGTCCACGTACCTATAAAACCCCATAGTTTTCTTAGGTAACAAGCAATAGCAATGATCCAACAGCATAAAGTAACAATGTTTTGCTGACCATTACAAAACAACAACCAGCATTCAAAAGCATAAACTGCCACCTTCATAAGGCATTCCATGACTACTCACTCATACACCCTTCCTGATTCATAACATCCATCATTCACTGAAATTAGTTTCAGAGGAATAATGAACAAATAAGAGAAGGATAAAATACTTCACCTCTGGATTTTCATGTGCAGTATGCACAAGAAGAGCATTGAGGAATGTGAGCTGTTTGGGTGGTCGACGGATCACCAAGTCTTGCAACAGATGTAATCCAACAGGTGCCCGAGTCTCATCAGCACACATGTTCTTCAAGAGCTCTGTTGCTTCTTCTGTTATCAAGGGTGCTTCCAGGTACAATCGAGCTAAAAGGCTGATCAACAAACATAAATAGCATACGACCAATTATATTACAGACTATGATTTACTCCTAACTTTTCCTTGCTTCTGAACAATTCTCTGTGTGGGGCATGCTAGTCAACAGTTTCTTCCTTCACTGTGGTATGTAGGAAACAAAAAAATTAAAACATCATAGCTTCTACTTAAGTTCATTTATTATTTGCATAATCCATACAATTGTACATGTATTCCATGATCCACATACAGTTGCCATTCAACTGAAGATTTTGATTCTTTTTGGGATGGCAATGATTACTGTGGCATATTTCTAAACCTGACTAGCATGGCACTCTTTTCTCTGTAATGCAATTTATGCCCTGGCTCAATATAACCTTTCTAACCACATGGAAGCTTGTGAAGACAAATCCATTTTACAAGCTTGTACTTTTAAATTCAAGAATAAATCCCACTCATGAAGCATTCGGGCTTGAGAAAATTTTAAAATAACTAGCAAATTAACTCAAAGAGCATAAGAGAACAGTTCATATCCTGTTTTACTGGTGCCATTAGTTTCGGAGCTATAATGTGTACAACAATTTTTTATGATTACATACAGACAGGTATGTGTGTGTGTGTGTGTTTGTAACACATTCTATATAGTAAGAATGAACTAGTAAAAACCAAGTTTTAAGGAAGAGCCCTCTTAAATTTGTACCCATAAAAACTGATACTTCCTCATGAAAATGTGCCATTATTAACAGTTTATACTACCATGTGGTTCAGGAATGTATGCCCACGATTATAAATACACCTTGCTGTGTATCAAAGAACACCTTTCCGCATGTCAAAGTTCACCTCTCATATTTGCTCAGCTTTCACATGTCTGTCCCATTTCATTTCATGGAATCTTCAAGATTATATATGAAATCCATTCTTGGTGCTTAATGTACTTCTACACACTTCAAAAAATATGTGGGGGGGGGGGACTATATTTTGCCCTTTCTACTTAGAATGCTTCATATGTAAGAATAATTTTGTATGTGATAATTATATTTTTAGAGTTTTTAAATTTCAGTTTGTACTTTGATATACACTACTTCAGTAAGTTCTCTTTACTGTGCTACCCTTTTTTAAAAAAACTAACAACTTTCTAATGCATCTTCCTTTTCAGAACATGACCTACAGAACTGAGAGTTGGGTTTTATACATATATATACTTACACATCTCTGTCTTTCATTTCTGCCTTTTCAATGAAATTGCTTGCCATTGCACATAAGAGTCTGTTGTAGCTGTATTCAGGACTTTGCTCTTGCTTGAGGAATGGTGGCATTCTATTGAATCCTTGCATAAAGCTGTATTCTTCATAAAGCCAAGCAAACCCTAAGTCCAAATGGGTTCTCACATCTTCCAACAGGAAATTCAACACCACTGCAATATAACACTACTGTCAGAGCTCTCACATTAAGCAATATAGCATGACAAGGTATTAGAGAATTGGTGTACTGAGGAGGAATGAATATTACAGAAATAACGTGATTTTTTTTTATTTTAAACAAAACAATTGTTATCATTTGAATTGCCTTCATTATACAAGAAATCTGCATGTCATGAATATGAATTGTTTTTGGAATCATCCATCAGACACAAATCCTTTCCCATTCTACCGGCCTAGAATATATACTCTGCCATTATGATTCACAGGCAGATATAATAGCTCATTTGATCTTGTCATTGCATCCTCAACCTTTCTAAAAGAACACATCTTAAGAGTACACGGCTTTCATTTGTTACAATACAAAAAGTAGATGGCAAAAGTCTGATAATCTGACACCATACAGGATAAAGAGAGTGAAATCACCAAAACCTATAATGAAAACCACAGTGTAGTCAAATGCTACAGCAGGAAATACAATCACAATTCGGAGTAAAAATTCTGTAGTTAACATACATAATGTCTACTCAAACAAACTTTTCATAACTCACCATCTCTAACTTTCCTATTGAAAGTAGCAGCCAGGGTGGTGATGATTTTGGTGCGCACTGCTGTCACACCACCTATTGCCGCATCTCTCTCTGCTTTCAATATCCGTTGCACAGCACCAGCCATCATTTTTATCATCATCTCATTTTCTAAAGGTTTTGTGATCTCTGAAAGCTTCAATGTCTTAATGCGCTGTTTCACAGCCTACAATTTTAGAACAAATAATTTATAATATTTTATGCAATCAATGCTGATGAGCAACAAGTATCAAGACTGCCATTAGCAATCAGATGAGCAACACATCACTAAATCAGGTGCAAGAAAATTACTAAAACATTTTTGTGACTGTAACAGCAAAGTCAATCAGCCAAAATGTCAAACATAAAATCAAAACAATAACAAGTCCAGCTCCATTTTAATGTGAAATTAAAATCAGAATATGCAATACTGAGATGACATGCACTATACTGCCTTCCCACACCATTTAATAATGTTATAATTCTTTAAACAATATTTATAATATGCAATGATGGTAAAATAGATCAGTTTTCATTTTCTGTAATGTATACATCTGTAACTAGAAGAGTGATGGAATGGAGACCGATGGGAAGAAGGATTAGAGGGAGACCACGGAAACGATGGATAGATGACGTGGAGGAGGATGTGAGGACGATGGGAGTGAGGGTATGGAGAATAATTGTGAATGATAGGACAGAATGGAAAAAACTCATCGAACAAGCTAAGACCCACATAGGGTTATAACACTACAAGAAGAAGAAGAAGAAGAAAAAGAAGAAGAAGAAACATCTGTATCTCTTGCATCATTTGTGTTGCTGGTCAATGAAGAAAGTCACAAAAAATACACATTTATAGAACTTTGAACCAAACTAATCTGATCACAGTGTTTGTACTAGTAATTAATCTAGGAGTGCCATAAAAGATTAATTTATTGACTAGCTGACTATTAGCTTCTCAAGAATGACTGTTCCACAGAGGCAATATCTACTTGTATTGAAATATTGCCAAGTAAGTCACAGCACTGACCAATTTTTTCCACTCTGGAAATGTTTCTGGTAATGATTTGTATATAAATTTTAAAGGGCAAATTCTTCCTGAACTAGCATGGCACATGCAGAATACAACAAACAAGAAAATAAGCTACTACATAAAATAAGTTCAGCACCTTGAGAGAGCCACCAGATGGTAATAGTGTTGCAGCCTTTGAGCGGCCCTCCTTCTCCTTTTCCATCAAACCACTTACAACAGTGGATATTGAACTCTTGGCTGAGCTAGACATTTGATAATTGTCATCAACAACAGACGCAACCTGGCGTAGAAATTGTATGTATTAATGATAAAGTTTAGTTGTTTTATTACAAAGATCAAATATAACTTAATTCAAAATTATGTTAATAAATTCCTTACCCCAAAATACTCAATACAATACAAGATCTAAATCTGAAATGCCATTTACATACATATAAAGTCCTGAATCTACGCGTAATCTGTAGAATCAAATCAGGATCATTAGAACTGCATCTAAATGGTAAGACAAACCCATAAGATTTGTATGAATTCAAATCTGCTGACACAAATGGCACACTTACATGTTTAAAAGTATAAAAGAATTCAAAATAATTCAAAAATCAGATAATTATATGTAATCATGTGTAAAAACTGTTAAAAAAATCCATCCATCCATCTTTTAAGTGAAAGAAACAGTCGACATGTTCACATCTGCTGTCTGAATGTACAAGATTCACTCTCCTTCAGTGCTACTGTATATTTATAATATAACATTTACACTTTATTATCTCATTAAAATTTTATTTACCTTTTCAGCTGAGACTAAACATAGAATAATCTGAACAGCAAATCAATCACTGATGCTACTTCTGTATACTGTGCTGGAGGCAGAGTATTTTATCAAGGTCATTATGTGTTAGGAACTTACTTTGGGAATTACTTGCAGTTTCTTTGCCTGTCTTGCTCCTGGCCCAAGTCCAATTGCAGTAAGCTGTGTGGCAATCAGTCGAGCCACGTGTTTGATCTGACCCTGGGTACCTGCTGCTGCAATTGGTGTGTACATGGCACTGAAGTGTGGTGGCATAGAATCAGGAAGTTTTGCCTAAAAAACACACAAAATTCAGGTTCTCTAACATACTGAACTTACAAGAAGTGTGAACACAATAAACATATTTTAAAACTAAGTTATTTAGACTTCAAACAAGAAACACCTCATACACTATTTACCTTTATATAACACTAATGTTGTTATATTTGTTCTACTTTAAACTTTCTTCTAAGGAAAAATAAGCCATATTAAACATACGCAAGAATTACTTTTGATGTAAGTTGTAAAATCCATATTTGTCTTTACAAAGACTCATCTTACCATAAACTTATCACACAGAAAATCATGTAACTCTTGAAAATGCCTGTCTTCTGAGATACAGCACCATGTAGCCTGGCAGATACAGACTGACATTTCAGACCAGCTTACACGTCACCCTATTGATGAATGCAGTTAGCTCCTATGAAATATTTAATACCTACCAGACTATACAGTGCACATTCCATAAGACAGTCATCTTCACACTTGCACTATTAAAATCTCAAATCTCACAAAAATCTTACTGAAATGTAATAGTCGTTCATAACTCTGCTATTTCTGAATCACTGCAGAAATGTCACAAGAAAATCAGAGGTCCAAACATACCATAGAAATCATGACAATCTGAGCAGCCAATTCTGGAGACAATCGCTCAACTATAAATTGCTCTGTAACATCAATGGCCAAGTCAGTGTGCTTCTTGTGATGAATTTCCATGCTGTGACTACTGATTCCATCATCCTCCTCTTCCTCTTCCTCCTCCTCATCATCTTCTATATCCAACCGTGGCTTTTTGTTTGCACTTACAGAAGTCTGGGACGATGACAAGGTCTCTGCCATGCGCTTTTGACGCTTCCGAAGTTCATCAATCTTTGGATAAGACTTGAGCACCTGTAAGTAAACAGTGTGTTCTTGCTGAACTATTACAGACTACACTTGGCCTGTCAAAAAAGAGCTGTGATTATATAAAGAAATCTTTAGAGGAGTAAAATATTTTAGGCATCAGATTTTGAAATACATTGTAAATATTAATTCACTGCAAGCAACAAATGATGAATTATTGTTACTTACCATAAACTTTAAGTTATAATACATTTTCTATTATTTACTGCTATGGCACTATATGATAAGCATTACAAATACCAAAAAATAAATTTATTCATTAAAACCTAGACGGTTGGTTACCTGATGGAAAATCATCAGTTAACAGCTTTATGAATTATACTGTATATAATCTCAACAACAAGAGGTTATTAAAGATGACAAACAGAAGGAAGAAATACCATGGCAAGAACTTGACACAGAGGAGCTGTGGGAAACAGATATAGACATAGAGACCTGCTTATCAAGTGAACCACTTAAAACAGAGAAGATATATTTTAACTTACATACCTCTTGATATGTAGCGCCTAAGTCAGTAAGTAATGTGGTGATATTATTGTGGTAATCCACTGATGATGGATGTTTCAGTAGATTCAGCAATTGCATCTTCAAGTGCTTCCTCACAGAACTAACTTGAGATTTGGACAATGTTGGTGGAAGGTTTGCTAAAACAAGAATAAAAGAAACAGATTAGTGCAAAAGCATTCACAAAAATGTTCAAGAAATTAAACATTAACTCTTCATTGGTATCTACATGCAAGTTCTACATGGTGTCACAACCCAGAACAACATAATCTTCTGTCTCTTTGGAGATGCTAAATTAAATTACGTTTTGATACGTAAAGTCTCATTATGCAGAGGGAATATAAAACCAGAAGCTTGTATGAAACATTACATTCCATGTTTTTACTTACTGTGCAGTGTCTCCAGAGCAGCTATTACCTTCCCCATGAACTGTGGCCGCATCTTTGCAATAAGAGTAAGAGAACCCATGCAAGTCATCAAGTTAACACTGCTGACATGCGGTGAACCATGAAACTTGACCAAAAGGTTAAACACCATCCTAGAAACAAATCCATTGACACAGAAAATAAAATCTGACTCCTCTAACTTGTGAAAGTAATGACTGTTACTGTTTTTCAATTCCAAGTGTGTGAGATACTAAGTTATAGCAAGCAAAATGAGTTTCAGAATACATTCTTACAGTCACTGAAATGGATGAATAAATTTATATGCAATTACTTAAGAAATAAATCCATTGCTATTTAACCTTTATTGTATGGGAATATGAGATTTAAACTTTCATATTATGGGCCTGCCAGGAGGAATTTATTGAACTGTGGGGTAAACAGTTTAGCAGAATATTACTGCAACATACAGATAACTAAAGTACACATAACGTACTTCACAGCACTACTACATAGTTTGTCCATTTAAACCTCAAAATAAAACCTATATCATAGACACGTGGTTATACATACATTATGTATATATTTATTTGTACTCAAAGCATTTTAATTATACTAATGAAAATCCTGATTTTGCTAAAGATCACTGTCTGTTTTATTTAATGCATACAGCTTAATGCAACAATATTTTTCTTATCTTGGAGCATTGAGATGGAAAAATCACAAATTGAAGACTGAGAGGAATAATGTCAAAGACTTATATGTGTATCCTTCTTTGTATAAAAGGTAACAGTATTAAAGTGAGTTACACTGAAGCACCCCTGTGAGGTTCCAGATCTGCACTGTTTGTGAGATCACGCCATCAGATAGAGACTGACGGAAGCACAAAGGAACGAAAGAAAGAAAAAATAAAAGAAGCATTTCTGCGGATAAAAACACTGTTTGCTCCTAAATACACATTTAGATGCCACACATTTAGTCCTCTAAACTATTTATAATTCAACCATCTCTCTTTCACACTTCCAAAGAAATCCATAAACATTCAAATGAAAATTAACTTAAATAACCCAATTTATATCTTGCCCATGCCCTATACGAGGTGCGATCGGAAAGTTTCAAGACTGTGCCTATAAAAACCCGTACACTTATCTCAGGTATTACATTCATCCATCCCCCTCGAAGTAGTTCCCCTGGGAGTGAACACAACAATCCCAGCGCCGCTGCCAAGCCTGGAAGCATCCCTGGAAATCTTTCTTTGTCAGCCTGTCAAGCACCATCTGCGATTCTGCCTGAATCTCTTCTATCGTCTCAAATCTCCTTCCCTTTAGCTGAATTTTCATCTTTGAGAAGAGGAAACCTTAGAAAGGAAGTTGGGGTCGGTTCTTGCAAGATCTTTAAACTCCTGACAAACGAGAAGTCGATTCTGCTTCTGGTCCTCAGACAGGATGCGTCGCATGTGGAGTTCATCCTTTAGAATCAGCTGACAGGTCCCATAGCCTATCCCAAAAATGTCGCACAAGTCGTTGATGGTAAGACGTCGATCTTCGTGAATGGCCTGCCGAATCTTCGTAACATTTTCGGGCGTTGTGCTCGAAGATGGTCGTCCAGAACGCTCGTCATCATCGACAGAGGTTCGGCCATTTTTAAAACGTGAATGCCACACAAAAGTTGGTGCACGACCCATTGCGGACTCCCCAAATGCTGGCTTTAGCATTCCATAGGTTCCCGTAGCCGTTTTGGCGAGTCTTTGGCAAAATTTGATGCACACGCCATTCCGAAATCGCACTACCAAAACGCCCGTAACTAAGAAACAAATGCTAATTCGATGAGGCCGGCTGGCACACTGATTCACTATGAATGTAGGCCGCAACTCCTAGCGGCAGAAGCTCGTACTACATCCGGTTCACCCTCTATTGACACAGAGTGGCAGAAGCTCGTACTACATCCGGTTCGCCCTCTATTGACACAGTCTTGAAACTTTCCGATCGCACCTCGTATGTAGGAAAATACAAATTACAATATACTTACTTAGCTTCTTCTTCCAGTTTCCGTCTCCGAGCAATCTTCAATGTTAGAGGAACATCTTCCAAAGAGAAGTCATTGTCCCTTTTCATACTGTCTGCTTCAGGATAGGTCTGCAATAGCACTACACATTCCAGGAACTTCACAGAGTGGGTTCTAATACTGAAATGCATGCCAATTAATCAAGTATGACTGACACAAGTCACTCACTATCAACAAATTACAAATATAGAACCACTTGTGTCTCACATGATGTCACATATTACAATAATACTACCCAAATTAGTAAATCATGTTGTATACACTGCAATATGAGCACACAAAATCAAGCCTAAATATACTGATAATGTTAAACTCCACAGAAACAAAAGTCTTTAATTTGGTAACCACAGTTATCACATATCTCAGCAATTCAGTTAAATTTAATATGATTTCTTAGAATTCAATCCCTTTATGAAATTGCTTGCCAAAAGCAAATGTCTGTAAAACAAGAGCACTAAAATAAAACAATCAAAATAACAACAGTAGACGAGCAAAATCATACAAATGAAAGTCATACAGGGAAAGTGTTACTACTAAAAACATAAAAAAATGTCAAGTACTATTTTCAGTAGTGGAACATCTAGCTGGAAGACTACATCTTAAAACACTGCATACAGTTCAACTGAAAAGTCCATAATTAGTTTGGTAGGCACAAGAAGACAGTAACTAGTCAGATAATATAATTTACATTAAAAAATTAAATCCGTGGCGTAACAGCTCCAGAGAGCCAAAGCCGACTAGCTTAACTGCTGGCCTCACGTTCACATGCCTAAGCAGAGGTTAACGATCATCCAACCAGATATAGGCTGATGTGTGGTCAGCACGATAAACCCCCAGCCATTGCTAGTTTTCATGACCGGATTACGCTACTCATTGTAGCTCCCCAATTTCCTCACGATGCTGGGTTGGCACCGGTCCCTTACACTGGTCGAAAGCTCATGAGAAAATTTCTTCTCCCCCGAGACTCGAATCAGCGCACATTCCGTATCGCCGGTCCGAAGCATGATGCCTCAGACCGCGCGGCTACGGTGCGGGAATACAATTTACATACTTTTATTATTTGTATAACACATGGGTGGGGAACCTTATCATGTTGGAAGTCCGCATTAATTTAGCTGTAATCAAATAAGGCCGCATTCAAGAAACTTCAATTAGATATACTTAAAAATGTACATTATTTTGTAAAAATCTAACTACTATGTACTTAATAATTTCAAAAGATGAAAACTATTTATTACTTTTAAAGTTAACTAATCTTTTAATGATTTTGTTATTTCTCCTTTTTGTTGGAAAGCATTTGAATATTTGGTTGCAGCAAGGAAGTCTGCAGTTTCAGTTGATCCTAGGATTTGTTCTGTAAAATTTGGATTCAGTCAAAAGGCCACACTTAAGGACCTAGAAAGCCACATGTGGCCTTAAGGCCACAGGTTCCCCATCCCTGGTATAACAGGATCAGACATGAAGTCAGGTTAGTGTGACTGAGGTCCTTCAAGAAACGGGATCATGCCATAGTCATTTTTGCACCAGATGTGACAATTCACTATATTAGCATTGGCAAAAACTCAATTACAAAACAGTGATATTTACCCATCATTATCACTGTCAATCATATTTACAATCTGTGCTTTGATGCTTCCCATCATAGCCCATGCTGCTTCCATTTCCTCTGAGACGGCTCGAGCTTTAGCAAGCCAAGCCAGTGCCCCACGATAGACCTATAAAAATAAAAAACAATGATAACCTGATCATCCTCTTCTCTATTTATTTTTCCCTCCACTTCCCAACATTGCCACTTCAGCGATGAAGATGAAGAGAGTTATGTTTCTCCAAAACACTGGCATCTACCAATGAGTCTAAACCCACATAAACATCATCATCATCATAATCATCATCCTCACGACTGTGAAAACCTCAAATCTCACATATGACACTCTGTCTTGATACTATTCCTTACAATATTGAAAATCACAGAAGAGTGTATCCTTGATACAGCAGCCATCACCACTTACCTGGCTTGCTGCCTGAATGACTCGTTTCTGGACTTGGACTGAAGAATCCTGTAATAGCATAGACAGATTTGCCACAACTTTTGGTAACACATCAGGATCTTTCTTACTGAAACCAAACACATAGTAAGAAGTGAATTTTACCAACTCTGAAGGAAAAGTGGTAACATATAAGACATAATCACAACTGACATTTATGGTTTAACTACCTTCTACATCAATGAAGTTCAAATGGCAGCCTGTAAACCATATCAACATCACATATCCAGTCCCTAATCCTGTATGAAATTAATTTTGTTTAGAGATACAATAAAGTAACACAATTCTGTAGTTTTATGCCAATTACATAAAAATCAGTGCAACCAAAACTGAAATACCTGCCCAAATCTAAACGAGATCCATCATTTTATCTTGCTTGGTATACAGTCATAATAATATTTAAAATAACATTATTGTATTCACTTGTATACCCTTGACTGTAAGAATAATCCAGATTATTGTTCTTGTTATTATTATTGTTAAATGTTATTTAACTACTTCATGTCTGATCTGTCTCTACACTGAAATTAAATATGAAAACTAAATCATGATGATAAAATTGACTTTTCTGCAAAAGCTGAACTGTTAGTGTCTCCCTAGAATTATAATCTATAATACCTGCATAACTTACAATGCTTCTTCAATAAAGCCTACAATGAATTTCCGTACATCCGCACTGCGATCATTTTGAAAACCTAAAACTTCATCTAAGAAGTTATCCAACAAACTTGCATCCTTGTTGATGATGATTTCTTGAACTCGACGAAGATGGTCAGTTTTAGTGTTGTCTGTTGCCAGAGATGCTTGATTTAACCATTCAACAATCTGTAATATATGCAAAGTAAAATTACCTTAATATTCCTTCCAGTTTAGTTTTGTGAAGGCACATGTCCGCATTTCACAAAACCAAGTTCATGATATGTAATTGTCTCAGAAGAAACATTTTTACTGAAATGACTGTGAAGTCCAAAATACTGTATTTTCTGGCATAATTTTCTAGAAAATTGAGACAGAAAAACAAGGTGTATAAATTACACAAGACAGCACCTATTGACTAGTCATAATAAGTTTTTGCATGATGTCTGTGCACAGGTAGTTCTGGGAAGTTCCAATACAGTTGCAAATAATGTGTTCCATATTAAAAACTATTCACTATTGTGATCACTTTTAGACTGCTAAGGGCAGGTGCTCAAAGGGATATAGGTAACCTTGTACCCCTATATAAATGACATATTTTATTTATTTAATTAGTGTTCTGTCTGACGACAGGTCCATATGAACAGGATCCTTCCATCCTTTTCTCAGACTGGCAGATGATCCAGAAGTGGTTTGCCATTGCCTTCTTCTGTGTGTGAATGGAGTACCTGTTGGGATGCCACGGAGAAACCGGGGAAGCCCCCGGAGGAAAACTCCGTGTTGCCTAGACCACGGCCTTGCCCAACACAAGTTATAAATTCGGGCACCGCCGGGAATCGAACCCGAGACCCCAGGATTACAAGGCCAGCGTTCTAACCGCTAGACCACCATGGCTAAATGACATATATATCTATATATCTACAAATCCCAACTAAATTCCTGCTTAAATAGTCCAAACAGGTGGAAAAACAATGAATTCAAAGATTCATAAACTTCATGTCTACATTTTAAATGGGAAGAACTATTACAGCTATGAAATTACCTGTACTGTATCTATTTATAAAATTAAAACAAAAATGAATTTAGTAATGTCTGCCAAATACCATTTTTGTAGACTTCATACATAATGTAACATGACAGTATTTTAGAATGATTAATACCATGTGTAAATAAATTTAGTCGTGATTATCAATGCAGACTGCTTAGTGACTGGTCAATTATTCATCAAATCGTTTGTATTTAACAGAATATGCAAAACAACTGGATCAATACAACATGCATAGGCAGTGTATTTCCAACACTTGTTCAATGCATTCAACCACTTTTTTGAAAAAGAATGTAATAAATTAACAAAACTGCACTTGTCTGTAAAACGCGAAAACTGAACCGAACGAGTTATCCGAGGATCGTCGATATCTCCAAGAATTCGCGTGTAAAATGCAAGCTGTAACAGAGATCAAACACACCTTATTGTTATCATCCTCAATAAAAGACTGTGCAGCTGTGCTTCGCCGAGAATCCATATCCATTTAAGTTGTCTTCGTCTGATTTCCTTCCACTAGAGGTTAGGAACGCTTTAAATAAACGATCACCAGTTTCCTTATAATTTTTTATTTATTATTATTATTCATTCTTCTTAACACACAACTTTTGATTCCAAACACAGCTTATATTTAATGTCAACATAAATAAGTACATCTAAAGGCTATTTGTGTTCTTTAAGACACTTCAACGTAAACAACACCTCATTTCCAATAACCATCAGAGCAGTCATACAATGTGAACATTTAGGTCATTTGTGGTTACCTTTCTTTGCGACAGAAATATCAACGTCGCGGATAATAAAGTTAACTTCATATAACCTCCGTGGGCACCAAGTACATTAATCTGCACGCTGTATATATAACGCAGATTACAAGTATGGTATACAGTAAAAAGACTTTCGTGCTTGTCTGATATCAGGAAACATAGCTTTGGTGTAAAATGTCTAATAATCTACTCCAATCGTTGGATAATGCGTACCCAAACCTTAGCCTATTCATTGCAAATTAACAGAAATAGGAAAACTCTGGTGAAAGGAAAGTGTTCGCCGTAGTTTATGAATATGGCCCACAAACCATCTAGAACCACATATGCTGGTGTGGTGTTTGTGTGACATTTGTTTTGATTTTACCGTGCAAGCAGACATGTTAAAAGTGTGTGCTTGATTGACATATTTCAAGGGCTAATTCAAAATGTAAATACTGTGGAAGAAATTTACATAAAATGCATGAGTCTGAAACATCAGAATCCATAACTAAGGGGTCACCAGAAGACAAGAACACAGAAAGTGATGGTAAAGGGAAGGTAAACATGTAGGGTATATTATATAGAACTTTTGAAATGTGTAGCAGAATTTACCAAACCTTTCAACAGAACATAGGTGTACTAATCTGCTGGTTCACACTCCATTGCCTAGTGAGGACCCTATGAGATATCCTTTACATATACACAGCTATTGTCAGAGATTTGGCTTCATATTTAAGGACACTATACCCATTCCAGTGACTGTGCCAGTGTCCCAGTAGGTTTTTTCAACAAGTATATATGCAATGAACACAGTAGTCCAGGGTCTAGTTAAAAATATACTGAAAACTTTTATTTCTCGTACCACAGAGTTCCACTTCTGAAACATCTGGAAAACAGAAGCTATGTAGCTGGCTGAACAAGAATTTCAAGATAGAAATGACAGATGGTCGAGTTCTCATTGGAGTCTTTCTTTGCACTGATAGGGATGGAAATGTCATCCTTGGATCATGTAGTGAATACTTAAAACCTGAAGGTAAGCGGTCAATGATATTTAGGTATTCTGCTCTCATTATGCAGAGTTGTACAATTTTGTATAAACAGACTTTCGAATTAAACATAAATTTATAGTTTTTTAGAATAAAAATTCAAAAGTAAATGCCAAAAATGTTGCTGTGTTTATAGTTTGTGTGCATTAAATGTGTGAATAGCCACAAATCAGTTTACAATGTGACAGGGTGTAGAATGTTTGAATTTGAAGCAATGTTATGGTTTATAAATGTAAATAACATGGAGCCTATGAAATAGTTCCCCATTATTTGATTGCAATTTGGTACAACCAGAAAACTCCATGAAGCAGAATTCTTAGGATGCTGACAGTATGCTCAGCCAGTCAAATTCCTTATCTTTTATGGAACCCTAAGGTACATGAACACTCTTTGCATAGACCTATAATAATTTTCTCTGTATTTATCAAGATGATATCTTTGTCTGTCAGTCTGACAGAAGATAACAGGTGAAGGTGTTTGAGGAAGATATTTTGGACCTCAATTGGTAACAAAGAGCATGAGCTTTGCAATTTGTATTTTTCATATCATTTTGTAAGATTCAATTGAAGATTCGATCAGTAATATATGTAGCAAGCATCTTGTGAAAAGGGGCGCACCAGGGAGACTGAAAGAATAGATGGGAGGACAATACAAAATGGATCTTGGAAAGAAGTGAAGATATGAACTGGAATCAGCTGACAGGACAGGGTTTAATGGCAGGCTGTTTTGTACACATTAATGAAACCTTGGATTCCATTAAAATGAAATTTATTGACAAACTGCATAACTACCAAAAATGCTCAATACATTTATAGTCTGAAGAAGGGACAATATATTTTTAAAATTTAAGCAAATTTTCAGGTGTCATATTTTCTTTGGCAGTGTATTCCAAGACAGTACCTTTTATAAAAGAAATTTGATTGATTACAGATAATGGTGTAATTGAAGAGCCACGTGTGTTGGGCCTTGTTATGGTTCCAGGAAGACATATTGTTTCCATACACTTAGATGATATTACAAACTGTAGTGGAGAAACTATGTAATGTGGGAACATTCATTTTTATATTGGCATTTTGGCAATATATGTACAATATTTTTCATGGCAAATAAATTGTTTCCAAAAAAAATGGCAGTACTTCTTGATAAAGTAATTTTATTTTAAGGTTCTGTAGATGCAGTTAGATTATTTTTTGCGTTTCCTCTAATCACTCAACCTCTCAGATGGAAGTCAGATGCTTCTCCCATGGCCCATGGAGACAGAGATGGCTAGCAGAACCAACAGACCTAGCTTAAACACTGTAAAAAGTATATATTCACATGCTGAAGTTCAGGGTGGCCATTCCAACATTTGGTAGGGCACTTGGAAAAAATCTCACTGTGTAAGTAAGATATACTTCATTTCTGTCTTGTGCTCCCAATCACTGATTTGTATTCAACATGTATTGCAAACTGTGTTGATAAGTCATAACCAATTAAATAATGACAATCAGTGATGATATATGGAATATGATTAAAAAGTTACAGTGGAACCACGGTTCCGGAGAATTTGACATAAATACGTCTATACAGTAAGGAGTTTATATAGTGGCTTTATTCTAAATATTTTCTTTATACACGCTTTACAATTGATTAAAGTTTGAGTAAGACAGTACTGCCTACCTTGAATTAGTTATGCTTAAGATGGGTCTGTGGTAGCTGAAATATGTTATAAAATTTGTACATTTTAGAGTATCAACATATCGTGCAAACACCATATCTATACAACTAACGCAACAATAGATTTCTTAATAATTCTTATATAAGATAAGTACTTGTGATATTGTAAAACGTTTTTACCAGCACAAAATTATCTAGTCTACGACGCACTTCTTCTACAAGCAATTTACAGCTCAGCTCTTTCCGCAATAACGAAAGTGGATTGTTGACGGTAGTAATGTAACACAACTATGCCGAGTGAACAGATGACATTTCCTAGGTAACATAACAATACATGCAAGCTGACCATTGTTGTCAGTCCATATTTACAAATTGTTGATATTTCCTAGGTAACCATCTTACACATTTTCCTGTCACTTTTTTGTAACACTTTTTTGTGGAATGACCCTTCCATATAGACGTATTTACATCAAAATAATGACAAAAGATGTCAGTTGACAGTTGAGCAGCAGGTACATACGTTTTGAGAACAAAGTTCTACTTAAAGAGTTTTGAATGACACTGGAAGAACAAGCTCCAATATGATTTAAAAAACTAACCCAAAGAAAGAGTTGCTTATGAAGATTTCTAGAACTGAAAATTCTGTTTTAAAGTACTTGTAACAGACCAAATACTGCAGAACATGTGATGTCAATATTTATGTTACAAGTTCTGTAGCTCACTTCAATTTCTTTTTATACCTCATAACAGTTCCAAACTTCAGGATGGATCAAACTCAATATGGCAGACCCATACAAAATTTTGTCAAACAATTTTCATCTTCAGTTTATTTATGGACCTAAAATAGCCATGTGTATTTTTAAAATTATTTAGTCAATTTTTATGAAACCTGCACTTTTATTATGAAGTGTTACTGTGTGCTCTTTCTTTAATCACTGGAAAGACTGACATAATACATTATTGGGAGCAGCTTGCATAAATCTGACAATGTATAATTGAAAGCACTGTCCTCTGGCTTGCAAAGAATTTGGAACTTCAGAATTTCACATGGATGATATCTGACACCCTGCCGTGAAAACTCTTTGGCTACTAGTTTGGGATTTTCTGATATTCTTCCAGGCTTTAGTAAATCTTTTGAAGTTTAATGAAATTGCAAATCCAATACCATTATTAAATTCATTATTAATTTCATTCAATTAACTCTATACATATTAAGTCCTATGCAGTATAAAGAAGAAAAAGATTTAGTAATTCAGACAAAATATGCCTTTTCTAAAATATACAATTCATGAACAAATATTCACTAATTTGAAAAGCCAGTCTAGCATAGTAATAAATATGTAGACATTTTACATTTTAATTCTAATTTATAAGATGAAGATAAAGAATACAGTACAATACATTTAATAAGAATTTTCTTATGCTACATTTTATTAACTATTGTGTGGAGATTGTGAGACAGAATGGAATGTCTGTTGGGGGAGATCAAGGACATTCTCTGGCGACTGTCCTCGTCTGCTATGTCCAGAAGCTGCTCTGATAATATGTTTTGCTGCCTCAAGTGTTATCTTCACATCAGTTGGGGAGCCCAGTCCTGGATTCACTTCAACCAAATCTACTGCTGACAATCGTTGTGTTCTGTATGATTCCTCCATTACCTGAATACCTTCTCGTAATGTTAAGCCTCCACGAACTGTTAAAAATAAAACAAGCACTAATAATATATTATAAAATAATAAATATATTTGTTAAAATTTTATGAATCCAAGAAACAGGGCAAGTCTGGTAGAACACATTCATCTTCAAAATTTTCTAATCTACACAGACATGTGATTGTGCTTTTGCTTCAGGAAAAATGTGGTATTCATATGCAAATTGGATAGTATAATAAATGGATTGCTCAGATACACTGGACAGTGAAACACAGTGTGCAAACGCCAACAACAAACATTCATCTACCAGGGTCCTTCTCTTGTTCACTATTCAGTTTTTACATATTTGTGCTGTACCAGGTTTTCCCATTAATATTCAATTGTTTGAAAACAAACTGGCATTATCACCAAGTCCAAATTAATTTATTTACCTGGCAATAACAAATAATATATCAGTTAAAGTAATAGTTCTGGGTAGAATTTGGTACGTATTATTAACCGAGTATAAACTGAGTACACAGACCAGCCATTCTTACAGATTGAAAGTGGTGTAAATTAATAACCAATATTTTCACAAAATTTCTGCTAACAAAGACATCTAAAACCTGAAACTTGTCAAATGTAACTGCACGGATTTGCACCATATGCAGTCATTCCAAGACATGCTAAAATGGGTAATATATTAGTGCATAGTGTCTGCAACAGTCTTTAGATGTGACAAAAATGTGTCAATGTTTAAACTACGTCACCTTACCTGGTGTCCCTGTACTTGGGGCTTCTAAGGCATCCAGACTGTCAATATCAAAGCTCACATGGAGTGGTAAGTTATTATTTGGATCAATTCTTCTCAAAGCCATATTTGTCACTTCAATGATGCCATATCTTTCAATATCTTCCATTCCAAAAGCTGTTATTGCAAATTTATCAATGACAAGTCTCTCATATGAATCAATATCCCTTAAACCAATATATGCAATGTTCCGTATAGACAGCCTGAAAAATAAATGATTGACTTTTGTATTTTTAAAGAAGTGCAACAACAAAGATATTTCAGAGGCATTAGGTGTTTAAATCTATTGATTTTAGTAGTAATGTACATGCTGAACCCTGCGAATACAGTAAAGTCTTCATTACCTGTGACTCTACCAAAGAACTTTCACACATCCATATGAATTACTTACAGGAACTATGTTTGGAGGGACAGCACAAATTCATTTTTCTGAATTGTGGAGCCTTGTGTCTAGTAGACAGTGACCAATAATTTGGAGAAACATCACTCCCATCTTCAGGGAGGCAAAATATTTCTCCAAAACACTTATAAGACTACACAGCATTACAATCTTGAAGACCGTCATATTTTAACTGATAATGCACCAACAAGATAACATGATAATAAAATGGCTGTCATAGCAGTAGTATATGAACATATGAAAGAAAGAGCAGACTAGAGACACAGGGAAAAGGAACATTACTACTACTATTAAAACAATCAGCTGACTACAAGTTACCTTGGTTGTTGCCAATCCATGCCTGGTAAATATGGCCAGTAATCTGACAACTCCTTTGCCAGTAATGCTACAGGCATACCATGGACATTTCCAGTAGGAGAAGTAGCATTTGTGTTGAGATCAGCATGAGCATCCACCCACAATAAAGCAATATTACCTTTTGCTTTCACATGACCATCAATAGTTCCAATGCTACATGAATGATCACCACCAATTGTTAGGCACATACGTCCTTCATTTATGATACGGATTACACTGTCCGACACCTAGAATGAATCAGTGAAACATTTGCTTCTTTATACACTTTTTTAAGGATGAAGTTTCTTAAGTAACTTTTGTATGCTAGACTCACCATTTTGCAAAGAGAAGTTCATGAGTTCCTCCGGATGAATATACATACCTGGGGAGTATCCTTTAACACAGCTTTTTTTATGCTGGTTATAACATTGTATGCTATGATGGCCCCATTTGGGCACAAATATTTATGCTGACCAGGCTCACCTCTTTGCAAAATGTATTTTTTTTCAGGCACAAACCCTCACGACATGCAGATCAAGAGATAAACATATATTCACTGGGATAAACCTTGCTCTGCACATATTTTAAAGGGTAACATGTTTACTGCTCTGCATATACAGTACATTTTATATATATTTAATACAAATTAGTCTATATCAGTATGTAATCTACTTCAAGTTCCACACACACACAAAAATTACCTCCTTCTGACATGCCGCAATGTGTCCAAGTGCAGTCATGTTTTTAACTATTAATCCTTCTATTTGTTCATATGTAACATCTCCAAAATCCTTGACATCACAACCTACAGAGAACAAAACAAACATAACTGGAGAATCTTTATAACCAGGAGCAGATGTTTTGATTCTTTGGATGTTCTAGATGATCAGCAAGTTGCATTAAGATACATATGAATTTCTTTAATACATTCTATAATACTGCATATACACAGTTATAAAAAATATGTTTAGTAACCCCCCACTCCTGTGCCACAGATGAATTCCAGATCACTTGCTCTTGCTCATGTCCTGTCTCACAAAAGCAAACAAAAAAGCATCATGCTATGGTAATAAATTTTCTTCCGATATATTTTGTGGGCAAGTAAAAATAAATTGTATAAGCAATATACTAATAAAACTTGATTCCACAAACCTATGTAATTTATATCTGTATTAGAAACAAGTATTGTACTCGCGCTATGACATTTTCTATATTCTTGGCTCAGGCCTATGAATGATCTATAGAATGTAAATAAATTAATTAATTTTCTATTCCATTCATAATTATCTAATTTTATTTAGAGAGTAATCATATTTCTATTGGGACAAACATTTTTAAAGTACTTTTGCACTTCAACACTCAATATACGGGAACCTTCCATTCACAATCAATATTTAGCATGTATTTTATTTCCAAACAGCAGAATTGTTCCCTCCCTTCCCACATAAAATAATTGTGAATTCTGTTTTTACATCTTGGAAGTCTTGAACGGTACAAACTTTAAAATCCCTTTATATAGAACAATGTACATATGGAACACATTTGTACATTTTCAGACAAATTATATGTGATTCTGTGTTAAACATTTCTCCTCTTGGGATTTTTATCATAGTAAATTAAAGTAAAATTGAGGCTTTGATGCAAACATTCAGGACAGTAAAACTGGATTTAACCTAAAAAATACCACATACACCAATAATTAAATAATACTTTACCCCATCTATCCTTTAAACATATTAAATATAATTTAAGTGAGAACTAGAGGCATTTACTGGCAAAGTCCAAAATAATACTGAGAGCATTATGCATCATGACATCACATGCCTTTACTTTAGTAAAGCTTTTGTTACCAGACTTTCAAATACATATAATTGTGGCAGCTTACCAAGGCCTTGTAACTCTTCTATTAATCCAAGATTTCTAAAGGCTTCTGGTCCAGATCCTACACCACCCTTCAACTGGAAATTAAATAAAAGATATCTAATATCTGGGTTGCAAATACAATCAGTTGTAACAATGAGTATTAAAAAATCCTATCAGTTTCAACACTGAGTACAGAAAATCTTGTATTACCTGTCCTTTATCAAATGGCACTCCAATAACACCAATTTTACTATGGCTTCTTCTCAAATTTATCACAAGATTATTTCTTGAAAGTCTATTAAAAATTCTTAAGCTACACAATTTTAACATGACTTCTTCTGGTATAATACAAGCTCCTTACTGAATGTGATGAAGTCCTCTATAAGACTGGTTACACACCAAGGCCCTTTTGTAACACATATGAACAGTGTTGCAAATATACATCTTTGTGCTAACGAAGGAAGGATACTCACTGACCTACCACAGACATGAACACCACGTTAGGCATACTGCAATAGTTTCAACATCCAAACTCTAATAGGTATCTAACAGATTACAGTCATCCATAAGTAGTTTCTTAAACTCTGCTTAAAGCAGTAAATGAAAGGCCCTTCCCCATTAACCACTCATAAATGACAAATGCTCAACTCACTTGTGCTGATAATTATATCCTACATCAAGTGCCTTCAACTGTTAATTATTTAGTGACTATATGTGAGCAAGGATATGTATAAGGAATCCGAAGTCCATTTCACTTTGTGATAATCCAAAAAAATAAAAGACTGTAACTGCTACAAAAAATAATCCTACCAGCAAAGATCTCGTGACCATTCTAAAATTTATTTATGTGCAAAAGTAAAAACTAAGATAACAGAATACTTAAAAACAATAACTTTGTACCATAGATGGTTTATACTCATTTAAACTAACATAAACTTGTAATAAAACAAAATCATCTATTTGTTCCTGGCTTTTGAAATTACACAATCTGTATTTCCTATCTTTACCAGTACTGCAATGCAGAACAGATGAATACTAACACTTTCAATTGAAAATATTTAGTAATGTGTTTTTAAATGGAAGGGACTAGTGACAGATTTTCAGCTGAAAAAAAGTGGCTTGTGAAAAAATGTGATTGACAGTGATATAAAAATCTGTTTGAAGTATAATTAAAAATCAGGATAAGGTATACATTAGTCCAAAATACATACTTCAAACACTTTTTCTGTTTTGAAAGGAAATTGACCTTAAAATAGTAAGTTGTGAGAATGCAAAATGGATTTAAACTAGAATTTATTTAGAAAATGAACAGTTATCATTCTTTTAGTGAAAACCCTATTCCCCGGGAGTTTTGTATTAAAAAACTTGGTCAGTAAATAAAATAGAAAACGGATAAGCAGGCATAAAAAATCTTGCATTACACGTTATTTCACCATCTCCATGTTGAACATTACTGGCTGTAAGATATGGAATGTTTAAGCTGAGTGGCAGAGATACAACTATAAAATTACAGATTTCAGTCCGGTGAAATCAGCATGTTCTTGGGCATCTTAAAAAAAGTGTTATGGTATCCAAATTCAAGATCATCTTATTCATAGGCTCGTTTGAAACTTACCTTCTTCTGCAACCAGGATCCACATGTCAAGACTGGTGCAAGTGTAAATTAGCAACTCAAATCTGAATTGCACACTTATGAAAACTGATATGCATAAGAACCCCTTTTAAGCATCATCCACAACAGATATGAGAAACAAAACGTTACTTCTCACAAAAATAAACTGTGTTAATTTCAGGTATTGGAGATAGCACATGAAAATGCTTCAATATTATGATAAACTGATTACAAAGTGAAAAGATGATCAAGGAAATTTAAACCACTCTCACATATGTTAAATCAGACACAAATCAAGCAATGCTGTCGATATGGGTCTTCTGATCTGCAACGTCATGTGGACTTTGTGACTAACCATGTAACACCTACAATGCTAGAACACACTTAACGAGAATTTGCATGGAGATTCAACCTTTGTATTTAATAAACACAGATCATGGTGAATCAACTTAGCAAGTTACTCTACTTGTTCATTCCAACATGTGTTATAAAGCAATTCTCAAATTTTTCTAATGGGCTGTTTGGCTCCTGGGAACCATGTGTGTACAAGAATAGTTTAAATGAATATTTCTTAAAATAATTACCATGTCAAATTTACCATAAAAGCCAAGATTATACAACAATATAACAAATTTATAATAATGCATCCATTACGTCAGTGCTACATAATACAAAATGTACAATAAAGACGCAATGTAGTTAAGCTAAATACTCTTGCCAGTTTTCTGCAAGGCACTAGTATTTCAATCAGTTGCCAAGTATTACTTCTGTGTGCTTCCTAACACAATCTAACTGGCACCACTCTTCACAGTGTGTGCATAAATAAGAGTACAGTACATTTAAAAATGTTTGAATGTGGCAGAAAATATTTATATTTAAGTGACAGTTTTCTTTGTTAAACTGTGCTCTGACATACAGTATTCAAATATTTTATCTCCGTATGTCATAGCAGTGAAAGATACAACACAATCAGCTGAGATTATACTCTCTGTTTCTTTAGGTGGCTGTCCTGTAGTCATCCAATACTTAAGCAAAATGGATTAAATTAAATTCACACTGGAATTCCTTTATGACCCTTGAAGTACACCTGTGCCTGTGAATCCAAGATCAATGGGCTAGTTAAAGAAACAATCTCTCATACTAAGTATGTTGTAATGCCAGCCCAGCAAAACTAATTTCATAACAGGACACAATAGAGAAAAGATAATAAGCAACATTAGTAAGAAATATAAATAATTTAACACCAATCATATCTCTTACATTACCAAACACACTATACAAAACTATAATAACATATTTATTATTGTCATCAGACACAAAGCATAAAGGAAGAAAATGACAACCAATTTATGGAATGCAAAATATCAGACATGAAATTGCACAACAACTTTTCTTTAAATTCTGTATTTGTCCAGCCTTCAAATTATTTATTTAATAATGCAAAAGAAGAAGAAGAAAACATCAATACCGCGACTGTTATCTTTTATCTTGAACACTGCACTCTATATTTCTGCAATGAAAGAGAGACAGCCTGTATTTTTGACTGAAGAAACATGTCGGTATGCAGAAAATTTAAATTTGCAGAACACGGCAAAACCTCAGGTACTATGCATATGCATTAGACTTCTCAGGCTGTTTTACTTGGGTCCCAGCATATCCTGAGGTCTCACAAATTTCCCAAAATCTGCTTCTGAGACAAGACCAAGCTTCAATGCTGCTTCCTTCAGTGTAGTACCTTCCTTGTGTGCAGTCTTCGCAATTGTAGCAGCCTGTAACAGTGGAGGGTCATTATTCTATTACATTCTGCTACCTGGTGGCCTAATTTAAGATTTTAATCAAGTACTGCCTTGATTTTGTTTTCTTTGTTTTTATGTAACACAATTGTCAACAGCTCAAACTATAGTGTTAAATGATAGGATAATCAATTGTTAATCAGAAAGGCTATGGAATTAAACTTTCATGGCCTAATTTTAGGTATTATCCTGGCATTTGCCTGAAGGGACTGAGAAAAAACCACAAAAACCTCAGTCGGGACAAATGGTCTTCAGCCCAAGATTTGAACCAGAGAACTCCCAAATACAAAGCAGGAGAGCAAATCACTTGACTGTGATGTTTGATGGAGGGACCAAGAACTACAATAAAACCTGTATGTTCCTCGTTTACTACTTTAATATATATTTATACGATTATTTATTTATTTATTTCCTATGTCAATTCATACTCATTCCAAGAAAATAATTAAACATTAATTCCACAGATAAATATAACGTCTGACTACAATAAGCAACTTACCATGAAAATGGAAAGCTACAAACAGAACTACGGATCATTATAATATATTGCATCAAATATCTAATAGTTTTTAAAATATTTTAAATTGATAAAAACCTGAAGACGACGGTATTACCCGTCGAAACATGTCGTTTTAATAAAAGCGCTAAAAAAATATAATGTAAAATCGTATTTACGATTAAGAGCGCTAATATAATATTTTACACAATAAAATGTTTTAATATTATATAAGTTTTTTACAACACCAATAAACTTCAAACGTTTGTGTATAGACTGTACAAAATAAATATATTTAATCAAACACAAACATGACACATATAAGATACAAAACAAATATATATATATATATATATAAAAAACCTGTTGTGATAGTCAGTCTCTGGGCTGAGATTTGAACCCAGGACATTCTGAATATGAAGCAGGATTGCTAACCACTCTACTAAGACGTGTTCCTTAAATTATTTTGTGCTCCTAGTTTTCATTTCTTAAAAAGGCCATTTTACATTAGTCTTTACTCAATTCTAAGGACCACATAAACAGTTTCTGCTTGAAACAGTTTTTTGACGTAAATACGTCTATGCAGAATGGTCATTCGGCAAAAAAGTGTAACTAAGATGTGTAACGAAGTTGTGTAAGATCCATATCAACAATGTGAAAATATGGACCAACAACAATGGTCAGCTTTTATATGAACTCCTATTATGTTACCTAAGAAACCAATTGTTACGTCATCTACTCGGCATTGTTGTGTTACATTACTGCCGTCAACAATCCGCTTTTGTTATTGCAGAAAGAGCTGAGCTGTGAATCGCCTGTAGAAGAAGTGCGTCGTAGACTAGATAAATTTGTGCTGGTAAAAACGTTTTACAATATCACAAGTACTTATCTTATGTAAGAATTATTACATTACATTACAGAGACGTATTTACGTCAGATTCTCCGGAACCGTGGTTCCACTGGAAACTTTTTAATTTAATTCAGGCTGTTTTAGAGATGTTCAGTTGTACATAATGTTATACTATGATACATATTGGTTTTGTACATTTCAGAACTTGTAAAATTTCATTACTGTAGCTGAAAATCTGGAGGCATGATAAAATATCAGGTTCTCTCTCCCAATATTTAATATAGTTCTGAGCTATTTGCATAAAACAATACCTACCTTGTCATAACCAATGTGTGGATTCAAGGCTGTGACCAGCATCAACGATTCATTCAGAAGTTTTGAAATTCTATCTTCATTGGCCTTGATGCCTGACACACAATTATCCGTGAATGCCTTACAACTGTCACCTATAAGTCGTATTGAACGCAAAACATTTGAAACCATTTGTGGCTTGAAGACATTAAGCTCAAAGTGTCCATTACTGCCACCAACAGTGACAGCAACATGATTACCCATAACCTGAGCAGCTACCATTGTAATGGCCTCACACTGGGTTGGATTCACCTTGCCTAAAAAATTGACAACAAACACTATATTAAGTACAAAAAAGATTCAACTGCTGTTTAATGTGTGATGAACAAAATTAGAAAACATATCTTCAATAACAGCATATTTAAAACTAAACTACAACACAAGATTCAGTCAAAACTTACTGAGTATCTGAGTAAATGCTTATATATCACTGCAAAACAGAGAGTTCTTAACTTCTCAAAGACTCTGTTCCATGGCATCAGTCAGACATTGGACAACTTACAAAGAAAATCCTCCATGACAATACTTCTATGAAATTCCATGCATCACCAACATTTTTCTGGGCTTACAAAATGCCATGTTCCAACAAAATGTGGTGCATGGGTTTTAATGATACACACTTTGTAAAACTTGAGTTCTTAAGAAAAAATAGCACAGAACTGTCAATAATGCAATTTCAGACACACCTGGCATGATACTGCTTCCAGGTTCATTTTCTGGTAACATGATTTCAGCAAGACCACATCTTGGTCCTGATCCAAGGAGTCTGATATCATTGCCTATCTTCATTAAGCTGCAAGCAATAGTATTGAGTGAACCAGAAACTTCTACCATTGAGTCATGTGCAGCCAAAGCCTCAAATTTGTTTGGAGCAGTAACAAATGGAAGACCTGGTAAGACACAAATATTTTATATTACTATATTGCCGCATGTATCCTACAAATTTAGGTAACAACTGCTTTAAAAACATCATGTCATCCTTTGAAAGGCATTGGAAGAATATTCAAATGCCCAAAACTTTAGCATTATGTGGGAAATGTTAAGTTTTGGCTTATTATTACTACATAAGATGTTAATTATCTCTAATCAAATTGACTATTTACCACAATTTCACATTAATTTTCTGGTAGTAAATTAACATATCATGACCACCATCACTGCTGACTTTAGTTTTTCACATAATTCTGATTGTGGTTTGTGTTCTGAATTGACCTTCCCACCTTTTATACCATCTTCTACACGCAGGGACACACAAGTATGTGTGCAAGCGCACACACACACGCTAAACAGTAGCGATAAAGGCAGAATGGGATAGAAAAAAGGTAGTCGCCAATCACGTATCATTTTGTGCAGCAGTGTTTGCTCCTCTGTTACATGCACACTGCTCATACTGTGCTTATAACAGGGAAATGTTATACTGAATGTTAATAATGAACAGGGCATACACAGACCCTTCTGTACGAAGCCAAGCCTACTGTGCACAGCTCTGCTGCTAGATTAATTTTCTGACTTCGTAACCATACCAATATCTAAGAATGTATTCAAACCTTAACATATAGGAACAGGAGATTTGAATCCCCATACCATGGGATTGTCAGTTCTCTATAAGCCTAGGGTTAAAAGTTCAGCAGTATGTTACTGCAACATACAGACAACTGAATCATGCACAGATAAGACTTGTCATTGAACACAGAAAAGCTTGAAGGCCTAGTATGGATTAATGTGCAACAGTACATTTTATAGGAAGGCGTGAACCTAAACTGGCATATTTTACCTGTAAGTTCACTGATCTTGCTAGCACACTTCTCAGCAAACCCAATCCTGGTATTGAGACCAGTACCCACTGCTGTTCCACCCAGAGCCAACTGGTAAAGTCTTGGTAGCGTATCCTTCACACGATCAATTCCATACTGCATCTGTGTTGCATAACCACTAAACTCTTGACCTAATGTTAGAGGCACTGCATCCATAAGATGAGTCCTCCCAATTTTAATGATAGTTTCAAATTCTTTTGCTTTATTTTCCAAAGCTTTCTGTAACACATCTAGACCTGGCATCAAAGTATTATGAACCTCCAATGCTACAGCAATATGCATAGCAGTGGGAAAAGTATCATTTGAACTCTGACTCTTGTTGACATGGTCATTTGGATGGACAGGGGTTTTAGAACCAAGCTTGCCACCTAGGATTTCAATGGCACGATTGCTGATGACCTGTCAAGAAAGAACAATTTAATAGCACATAAAAATGTTATCAATGTCTATAATAATAAACTATATTTTCATGACTATGAGACAAGATAATATTGCTTTCAGTTGCTTTACAAACATAGGGCACTGTCTTACATTCCATAATAAAGAAAAATGTGTTAAAATGTGATTCAACAATTTCTAGGAAAGTGGAATTTAGGAACTATGGTATATCTTTATTAACTCACACATCCATCAAGTATCATATCATATAATATGATATTTAAAAAGCTGAAATCATCAGACATTTTAATACCAACAATACTATAGTTGGCCATAATCTAGCTAGATCAGTGTTTCTGGAATCATCACTCCACTTTTGAGGCACATTTCCTAATAAACTATCAATCTAAAACAAAACCATATACACATATATATGGAGAAATGGTATATTACTGCAATATGATACAGTGTAACACACTTCCAATATAATAATTAATGTAGCACTGACTGTGACACATCAATGTATCTATTTAGAGACATCCCTTTTTATTTCACTGATATCTCACCAAATCTCTTAACTTTGAATCTACAGTTTACAAAATGAGAAAGTTTTCAGAGACAATTTTCTCCTACAACACATACTGTTTGTAATGTAACAGCCTTACCTCATTTGTATTCATGTTTGTCTGAGTACCTGATCCGGTCTGCCATATCACAAGAGGAAAATGATCATTGTACAGCTTTCCACTGATAACATCATCAGCAGCTTTGGAAATAGCATCAGATATCTTCGGATCTAAACCATAATCTTTATTGACAATGGCAGCAGCTTTCTTCAGAATGCCCATTGCAGTAATTATTGGAAACTGTGATAAAACATCAATCACCACCCATTTTATCACTACTTCTTTCAAATAATAACTGCTTAAGCATTAACTCTGAGGCTTACTACAAAGTGTTACATTATTTCTTTCAATTCTATTACTGCTACATACTGTGACATTACAATTAACAGGAGAAGCAAAAAATTGAGTTCACAGTTTGCTACGTAAAACCCGAAATGACAGAATTATAAATTTCACCAATAAACTGAATAGAATATACTGGGAAAGAAAAAATATATGTTTTCAGAGCAGCATAACTGTGGACTGTGGTCTTCTTGTAGAGGTTCACCAACTTTTTAAAAAATGTATTGCTTCTGTTTATTTGGCAGAAGTGCCTAAAGATGAAGGTTCCTCTGAAACTTTGGTGAACACCTACAACAGCATCATAACCTACACGAACACAGTTCACAATCTAAGCCTTTAAAAAGATACAAAAGTTTTGTGTATGATACTCAAAAATCGACTAGGGTTATTATTCTGAAGGTTGATAAATGGCAACTTAGGTAAAATTCTGCCAATACCTGTGTGAATATCCATAACTAATTTATAATTTCAAGATGGTATAGAAATAGCAAAAATAGGCCTGAATTCTTGTATCATAAAGCTAAATTATAACACTTCAAAGGGCCATCAATTACTTATCTTAACACAGACTTGGTTCTCTTCTTATGATTAAATGACATTCTTAACTGTTTGGAATCTTGTCAGGGTGATGTATGTCACAGTCCTATTTAAGCCCCTGAACTTTAATACTTACTGAATTATGCACACAATGAAAGGCCAAACATCTCCCCTACAACCGACACACTTGTCCTGTTCAGATAGTTCTAGCCCTTTCGTCACTTAAACATAATTACCACATCATAAAATATGCCACTTAAACACATTTTGTTGAAGTTTTAAGAAAGCCTGAAGGATATAACACAAATTTTTACCTAAAGATTTACATCATGTAATTATGTCTTTTGTCAGAGTTCAGAATTATGGATCCTTGTTATATGTTAATTAGGTGTGCAACTAACATGCCCCAGAACTGTGATGGAGGGAGAGTATACTTAATGACAAATGTGAGGAAGGATGGTCTGTGCTACAAATGTTGACGCATTGGGCAAGCCACATCTACTGGTGACTGAAGCGAAAGGATAATTCGTTAGAACAAGATTTTGGGATATAAAGACTTAATATTTATGTTTATTGTACGGTAATACAACATATAAGGACATGAAATACTTACAGGCATCCTCTCCGTTTCCACGCCAATGGGAAAATTTTTGATTGATCGTACCGTTTGTGAGCCATAATACTTATCAACCGGCACTTGCACTTCACCAAGGGTGTCCTTCTCAGTTCTAAAGTTTGCCTGTTTTAAAATAAAATAATGCAATAACTGTTACGAAGTTTGGGTCACATGGAAATTCTAGCTTTTGCCACTTTTCATCATTCATCAGTATGCAATTGAAATTTATAAATAACTTCACCATTTGATCTCTTCTATTTTTGGTACCCAACTGATAGCATACCGGAATACTGTTGTTCACTCACCATACTTGCTATTTGATGTACGTTATATATTATTTTTACTTTTCCCCCATATAATCTCTCCGCCTGCACCGCTAGTTTTCTCCCTGTTCGAGAAACTTGCATAATTGTAGAAGTCATATTGCTCCGCTTAAACCCTCCTCCTTCCTGTGAAATAGACCACTCGAAACGGCAAGATCGGTATATGACGTAAGATTGTGGGCAGTAGACAATCAGGAGATCCGAATACTGGTGAAAATTACGATACCTATGGTTGACGCCATGACACTCTGAAGATGGCACCACTGCCGACGTCGGCAGTAGGAGAACGAATATTTTGCATTCGCTACAGGTTTTGATGATTATGTGTGATATGTGTGTCACTAGTGTTAAATAATGTGGATTTCATGATGAATATTAAAGTTTTTGATGTAACGTATTGTTGCTTCACAAATGAAGTACAGTTTTTGAGAATATAATTCAGTAATAGGTGATGGCATGGGGGTAATAGTGGTGATAAAGGCAAGAATGTAATAATCAGCGATAGTACATAAAATTATTGGTTCATACTCGGTTTCGAACTTCGTGTTAAGACATGCAGGATACAGGCACGCACATGAGCAGTTTAATTTGCCAAAGATGTGTCGTGAAGCGTGGTTTTGTTTGTGATAATATTTATGGTTATTTTCATTATTCATATTTTATTTTTTAAATAAAAATTATTTTGCCTTATTTTTATATGAAAACGGAAATATAGATTTTCTATATTCATGGTTCTTTAACAGGTATTATATGTAGCTTTGTGCATTTGTTTTAGCTCTGTATTAGAAAGCTTATAATGGACTCATAAATTTGATTGTGGGCTTAAATTATATTGTTTATTACAATTAGTGCTAAGTATTGGTCAATTTAAGAATGTAGGGTGTTCGTGTGCTTTATCAGTAGATGCTGACCAAAGCACAATGATTGAGAATAAGAAAATATTTTATAGGATTTGAGGTTTTCAAAGTGATGTATCCGAAGATGGCTGTCTTCCAGGTTGTAGCACTGTGTAGTCTGATAGAAATTTATCAACGTTTCAGAGGTATTTGCTGCTTCCATTATAAAACTCGCCCTGATGATGGAGGCAGCAATGACCTGTGAAATGATGGTACACTTCTACCAGACTACATGGTGCTACAGCCCACATGATAACAATCTTCAAGAAAATATGTCTGTTATGTTCATTTACAAAGATTAAATTGTATTGTTTTACACATATAATTGCTAATGTTTACATATTTATGTTTTTTGTTATAGGGTCATTTATCAACATGGCCAGTTTAAATCCTCTTGAGTGTAAAGTAACTTTGAGACTATCGATGTGAAGATTTTAGGAATAATCTTGCCTAAATATTATTATAACACTTTAACCTTATGTTAATTGCCAAAGCATCAAAATGGAGTTTATTAGGTAAAAAATTAATTTACTTCCATATTAGTATTTACTTGAATTGTTTGGTATTCTTCAGAATTAATTTATGTAATCTGTTTCAGCTGTATTGCATTCCTGTGTAAATGTTTCCTGCGCACCATATTTGTCATATTGAACAATGTTTATTGCATCCCTACATATGTTGTATGGATGGTGATGATTTTTCCACTTAAGAGATACCACCCCGACTTATATTGGAAGATAGAAGGCCATTTTTTTCATTGGTTGCTAGCAATGGTCAGCATGTGGAGCTGGTCAGCAGGATATGACAGTGAGTTTGAATCATTATAAAGTTATTAGTTAGAAAATATTAAAATATACTCAATAATGAAAACTTAGTACAGTTTTGTAACTTTGGCTTTTGGTGTGAGCTATGCGGAATGCTGCATATTAACCAATATTTTGGCAATAACTACAGTTGCCATCTTCAGGGTGAGTGTATACTGGGGTCAGTTCTGGAAGCCTTATGTAGGGTAGGTATAGGTGGTGAATTATAGTTGATGGTTCTGATTGGTGGAGTGGGCCACTATCCAATGGGAGAGCAGATTTCTTAGCCCTTTTGAGGTTCTGGTGAAGGAGAAGAGATTAGAGGAGTCTTAGGGCCATAAGAGGTGAGAGGAAAGAATTTTGAGGCATAATGCAAGGAGAGGAGGTGAGAAGAATGTTTCATGTTTTGGAGAGGAACGTTAATCAGTGTTTATGGATAGTGGAGGTAGGGTCAGTAGCTGGGTGACAACAGGTGAAGTCAGTCCTTGCTTAACCTATAACCATCTTCACAGTTGTAGTTGTGAGGGTGTTTAGTTATTTTGATTGCTTCTCTGATTATGCAGGAATTGACAGTATATAGAGACGATGTGGAATAGTACTTGTATCAGTTTGCTAAAACGTTCTTTCAGTATTCTTTCCTGCATTAATGTAATAAAAAATAAGTAACATGTTTCCACAAAGTAACCTTGCATGGGCATGAACATATGAAAGACAAATTAGGTTATTGTGCTTTGAAACTAGATTATAGAGCCAATTAGTCTGTAAAAGCAGGTGAGAGCGCACAGAGACTTACCAACTAAGAACACATAGATTAAATAATTGTGCTAACTATTTTGTCTGCATAATTGACTTTCTCAACAAGGAAATAATGGGCCCTTATTTTGTAAATATGTTATAATATTTTATCAGTTTTCATTTTTTGTTTTTAACAAGTGAAGGCATTACATTATTTTAGACATAATACAATTTCTGTCTGTAAATAAGTATGGATTTTCTTCTCTTTTTTTGTAGTTGTAGAGATAGGGGATGATATTAGGATTTGCCTAGAAGATCGTACACTAGTCATAGCTAATCATCAATCAACTGCGGATGTGCCACTCTTAATGGCAACATTCAACACAAAGAAAAATGTCCTGCCAAATCTTATGTGGATAATGGATAGAATCTTCAAGTACACAAACTTTGGAATAGTTTCCATACTTCATGAGGATTTTTTTATTGTTTCGGTAAGTTATATTGTCTGTCTCCTTTGTTTTTGAAACAAGGGTTAATGAAAAGTAGCATTATTCTCTATAAAAATATGTGTTCTGTCAGTGTATGTTTATGATTTATCTTTTGATACATTGAATAGTTAATTTCTGTTGTATTGTTTTCATTACTTTTCTTGTATAATTTTAAATGATCAGTAATTTATTATGTCAGTCACTTGTTTGATTAATATTCAGCATTGAGTCATTATGTCATTGTATATGTGATGTCATTGCCAGTGTCTTGATGTTCAGTTTTGGTACTCCTACTTCATTTAGCTGAGAGATCTTTCAACTTTCTTTCATGCAGTGGTGAAAACAGTTTACTTTTCTTTACTGGTTCTGTATCTTACCAGAGTGGGAGCTTCCATATTAGTTTAGTATCAACATCAACCACTCCAATTACACCTTTCTAGTCTTGTTGAATTTAACATATTAGACCTATATGTAGGAAGAACTTATTACTTAAGTATGGACTTTGTTTATGTTAAAATTTTGTTCGTAAATCTTCAAGTACAAATGTTTCTTTTTCTACAAAATGAAGTAGGAAATATATGCATAGCATAAGAATGCTGGCACATCAGCCAAAATCTGATCTTTACGAATGGTGCCAGTGATGTCAAAGGTGTCTGGCCTTTGAGTAGGTGCCATGGCCGGCCTGAGAGATTATTTTAGAAGAACTTCTTAATATCAGTTTTCATGAAAATATATTCGCACTTCTTGAATGGTTCCTTGCATACAGATAGATAGGACAAAGATAACAGGTGCATTTTCACAATTATTAGTTATGAATTTGACTAAAAAGCACTGCTTCTTTGTGGTTTAAGTGTAAGTGGCTATTTGCTGCAAAATAAATATGACTGCTGACAAGAATTTTGTGACGTGGGGTATCAAATCATCTCTGAACTTTGGACATGAGGTTAAGATAAACCGAAGAGGCCGATGGTCATCCACTGTTTTTCATACATAATCACAGTTCACTTTTTTTGTTGTCCTGTTATGTGGTATTTATCTATTTCCTCGTAGTAGTTTAAATGGAGGCCATAGATGCTGCAATGGAACATTTTCACAGAATCACTGAACTGTAATTTCATGTATCTGTGGTATCCTGTTTCTCATAAAAAAACTGATGCTGTTTTTTTGGTTACTGACTGACCTTGAAATGCACGGTAGTTTCCTTCATTACTCGTCCCCTGGTCTGTTGTGAAATTGCAAATAAATTATTGTCCCCACACGACTACCTGAATCTCTATAACTTACGTTAAGTTCCCTTCTTGTACTGATATTATTAAAGACCTTGAAATAATTGAATATAGTGTGGTACCCTCTCTAGACTAGGCATCATGCTTCATAGTTTTGTAAGGTAAAATTTAATTAGAGAAGTAATGAAAATATTAAAAATATTGGTAGACTTATTATAAAATAAGTATACTTTACTGTGGTTTTGTTGTAATTTATAGTGAATTTGTAATTTTTTATACAGGTTCTTTGTAATGTAGCATTTCGTTAATACTTAATCTGAATTTGTTGTGTTTAGAGGCTAAGTAATGCTCAAATCTTGAAAGTGATTTGTTATTCTTGTTTTTTTTAAAGGGTAAAGACAAACGTGGTGAATCTCTGCAAGCTCTTGTTAAACACCTGCGTGACTCTTACATTCCTCGCAGACGTAAGTGGATGGTACTCTTTCCAGAGGGAGGATTTCTTAGGAAGCGCAGAGAAACTAGCCAGAGGTAAAGAGAAATATTTTCCTAATGCAGATGACAGTTGATGATGTCCACACTACAAAATTCTCATGCTTTTCCTGAATCCTTCAATTATATCTTATAATATTTTTCTAGGGGCCATTGAATTCTGGTATTAAACTTGAAACATTTTATGGGGGTTATTAACACAAATGTAATTGGGATGCAAACACAGAAATAGGAAAAATATTGCATCAGATATTAAATATGCATTTACTATTCATTTTTATAATATTTTACTATTACATTACTATTGAATTCATTTAGTTTTTTGAAACATTAAAAATTTGGGCATACATCACACGAAGGAAGTTAAAAAAATAGTGTGTGTTGGGAACAGTTAGAGGAATGTACTAGTAAAGAATGGGTATGATTGTCATAATTAACTTCTGCTCCCTTTTATTATTTTAATAACTATGTACATAGAGCGTGTGAAGTGAACTATTTATGTTTTCTTGTTCAGGTTTGCAATCAAGAACAATCTGCCAATATTACAGCATGTATCTTTGCCGAGAGTTGGGGCACTTCAGACTATTGTAGACATTGTTGGTCCACAAAAGAG